CCTGTCTGTCTCCAGCTGTCCTATCAAATAAAGGCATGGAAAAAGAAAAAAAAACGATTTGCAAAACTGTATACATTTTGTTTTGTTTATGTAATTTGTCTGGCACAGGATCATTTAAAAAAGTGCTCATGTCAATGCGTGACATGCTTGTCCTTGAGAACCAAGCTAGAGTTGCATAAAAAAGCTGTTGCTCCAACACTTAGGATAGATGGGGACTAATAATTGTTATAATTAGTAAGTGTTTGGTTTTTTATAATAGAAAGGTACCAATATCAGATCATTTTCCCCAGACCCTTGAACATGTTGAAGCCACTGTCTAATGTCTATTAATAATTCCTGAATAGTTTGGAAAAACTAAAATAATTTTGACTGGCAGGTTTAAAGCCGTGTTGGTGACATGCTGACCTATCCCATATAATGAAAAGGTCATGCAATCTGTCCATGGGAGAGTAAAAAGCTAAAGAAAGAGACTTTGCAGCATTGGAACACAGCTACTTCAATTACCTTTTTATGTGGGCCTATAGGACTGTATTCAAATGAAACAAAAATTTAATGAATTATTTTTTCTCCCAGCAGAATATGGATCAAAGACAGATATGGTGCATTAAATCAGTGTCAATAAAAATTTAATTAATTAATTTAATTAAATGAGGAACATCTGTGGAAACAGTCTCTCTTTAGTCATAATAATCAAGCAATTTACATAAGGTAACACTTTTTATATCAGCTCTGCAGCAGAGCTCTACAGAGACTGGATCATAAAGTAATGAGTCCCCTTGTGGACAGTCGCACACTGTATACAGAGCCTACTGTCTTCAACTAAAGGGCTCTCTCTTGATTCACAGTATGACAGAAACATGAGAGCTTCTGCATGAGCCTCTGGCTTCTAAGTAATAAACAGTAACAAAGCATATTAATCCTCTCACCGTGTATTCTTTGAATCCCCTTTTTTATATTTATAAGACCATTCTTTGTTGTACTACAGATATTACTGGATGATAAAGCCAGGAGAAATCTTTGCTTCTGATAGGGTCTTGACTGAGGCTCCAGACAGCACCTCAGTCAGAATTTCTCTACTCCCACTCTTCTGTGCTGGCTGCCATTTCTCCTGTAAGGCTTGCCAAAAACTGGGTCTGTTTTCCATACAAGCATCCTATTTTACCAGTAATATTTAGCTGCTAGTGATGGACCTGTGTAGTATTCTGCTGTGCAGCTGCAGCATTTCAAGTCCCCTCATTTACAACAAAGGGTCCACTAGTAACTACTTTTACTACGACCGTCTTTTACTAAAAACATGTCAAAAAGTTACTAATGAAGGAGACATTTAATTGTTCATCAGAAGAACATGTTATAGCAAGTAAGCCAGTGTTACATAACTCTATGTCCATGGTAGTTCTCCAGTTTCCATGATAAAAGCAAAGCAGCAGGGTTATGCTATTTATTATTGAGCTATTTATTTATTTATTGAGGCCGTGAAATTGGCATAGAAATGTGTTAAAGGACTCAATGTGGGTGAACTTCGTTTATTGGGATTTTTTTTGTCTACAGTTAAAAATGTTCTGTTGAATGCAAAGATTTCTCGTGCATTTACTTATGTTTTGTTACCAGATATAAACAGCAGCAGACAGCTACCTTTGTCAGCAGTGACCACTATTTATTTATTAAGTATGGTTGGATGATGAAAATATATAGTGGGAGATGATATATTTGTGTAGACCATCAGAGAGTTTTATACACCATTATGATTGTGGTGTATCTATCCCTTCACAGTCATATCTCTGGTTGTGTTGTGGGTAATGCTCCACCAATGAGTAGCCCTGCTCTATGGCAATATTGGATTTTTATATGATTTTTGCATCAATGTGATGATGTACCGTAGCCAAAACAGACACTTCTGTCGATTATTTTATCCATAAAGTTTCTTAAGAATTAAAATAAGAAATTTTACTAGATCTGAAATTCATACACTGTGATAGCAGACTTTATCCATACCACTCACCCCTGCTATTAAGGCAGGTAACATCAAATTGTAGCACTTGTTTTACTTGTGTTATAGGAAAACTATCTAGCTTGATAGTGCTGTACATTAATCACAGCAAATGTTATGTAGCCATACATGCAAGGCTGATTCCATTTTCAAACCTTTCTCTCCCATGTGTGCGTAATTAATGTAAGGTGCTTAGTGAATGTGAATACTGTGGGCTAGTCTGAAGTGCAGTGTGCATGTCATTATAACTGCGGGCAATTTCATCTTTCAGTGGCTTGCTATAGCACAAACTAAAACACAGAACTCTTCTATACTGGTTCCAGAGCTGGCAAGTTAATAGCTTGCTCAACTTTCAAGAGTCTTTCGAAATATAAAAACAGGAGACAAAAGTTGAAGCTATAGCACAGGGTCAAGTCCATCTGAATATTCTTCACTGTAGAAAGCAGATAGATGAATAATGCTACTGCTGCTGCTGTTGCTGCAGTACAGAGCTGACTCACTGCAGAGTGCAAAGAAACAACTGTTCGCTGAAAAGATTATGTTATTGGAAGATTTCATTTTTATGTTGTTTTGCTCTTGTGGTAATTTGAAATAATTTTCTCCCACAACCTCAATTACACTTATCTATTCTCAGATGACCAAAAAGGTTTCGGAGAGAGAAATAATCATGTGCCCAAACTGCTCCCTATAAATGTGTGCATTGATTTACTGCATTCATTTTGTTTTAAGCGCCATCACTGAGCAACAATTTTCTCCATTTCTGTTATTGTCATTAATGAAACAGTTTATTACAACAATAAATTTACAGTAATATTGTTTTATGTTATTCGGTAATGAGACCACTGTGCCAGGCTTTTCCGATTCAGGGGCTCTGTGTTCCACTTCGCGCTATGGAGATGCATGTCTGTCAAAATGATGCTGTACTATTTAGGTAAATCTAACACGCTGCATATTGTTGACAGGTTGTGTTGTGACAGGACATTCCCTGGCTAGGGCACGAGCTGCCATGCCATTTGGTTGTCTTACACTCGGGGAGAAGAAGGATTACAACAATCCCTCAGAGGTGACCGAGAAATATGACCTCGGACAAATTGTTAAATCGTGAGTACATCTACTTTGTAATGTTGAAAAGCACAAGACCTTTGGAAATACATTTTGCTCAAAATATGATGGACGTTTCCTCTTTTATCTTTTTAACAGAGAGGAGTTTTGTGAGATATTCCGGGCAAAGGATAGGAACACCTTGAAAATGTACACCTGTAAAAAGTTCCACAAAAAGGATGGAAGGAAAGTGAGGAAAGCTGCCAAAAATGAGATAATGATCTTAAAGATGTAAGTGAAGATTTAAGCTCCTTATTATAGAGCTTACATGTCTGAGGAACTGTCCTGGCACTGAGACAGATGATCGACAAAATTCTTTCCTCAGGTCTAGCAGAGACCAAGTGTGGTGCAAAAACTCAAAAACTAACATCCTGAAGTTTTTGCCTTTGTGCATTCTAAAAGTAATACACTGTAATAGTACTCTTAAAGTATGTTCTGGTACTACCTTGCAGGTTTTACTGTATAAGTAAACCATCTTTGCATCTAGTGAACAGAGTCATGATTTGTTTGCTTCAGTTCTCCTTTTGTTGTTCAAAAGGTGGCTATATTTTCTTTTTTTTTAAAAGCCCAGAAGTGTCTGTGTTTCACGCTCCTTAAAGGATAAGTCTGGTGATATTTTTGATTTTTCTATCAACAAAAAGACCAAAACCAACAATGAATTGATCCCACTAACAAGTAGTGTTGCCAAGTCTTGATAAAGGCTCATTCCTGTGCCATAGTGCCATAGATTTCCACTGTAACAGCTAAAAACACATTATTGAGCCACGCCGTTGCACTGGATGACAATAGTTTTATGTTATTCGGTAATGAGACCACTGTGCCAGGCTTTTCCAATTCAGGCGCTCTGTGTTCCACTTCATACTATGGAGATGCATATCTGTCAAAATGATGCTGTACTATTCAGGTAAATCTAACACGCTGCATATTGTTGACAGGTTGTGTAGTGACAGGACATTCCCTGGCTAGGGCACGAGCCCTTGCTTATCTGTTTGAGGAAATTACAGAGGCTTGTTGAAGTTACAGAGGCTTGTTGTTTAAGCATAATGTGTCTTGGGAATTAGTGGTTCTGTACTTTAGTCACATTTGCACTAGGGTTGTGTATTGGCAAAGAAGAACAATGTAGGGGTTATAATTGATATATAGCGATACTGTAAGGTAGGCGATATATTGCAATTTAAATTTAAAAAATTGGAAAACTGTCATAGTATAAGGAACACACCAGAATCTGCATAAAATCAGATAACATTTTTTTTTTACTGTTTTTGTGCAACTTGAACATTGGATCTGCTTTTGTATTTCTTACAGTCGCTGTAACATCCAACATCATAGCCCTCACTTTACAACACTGAGATCTAGC